TGTGTAGTTAGCTGTTTTTCTCTGGCTTTAGCGGTCTTTTTATGGATTTAGCTATGCAAGTTAGCGGTCGTTCTCCATTTTGTAGTTGCTACTAATTTAATATACTGTAAACATTTATATGGAAGAACATTTGTTATTTAGATAGATAACTTTATTGTCATTCAATCAGTACTTTAAAAGAAATTAAAATGCACTTACAATGAAATTCTGAGCACAGGTCACAGACTAAAAAAAACAACAATAAAAAACAGAAAAACCTTGATGTAGTAAAAGGCAAAAACGGGGACCTGAATAAATATAATTACAAATTGTTTTAGATTGCACCAAGGGCCTAAATAAATGAATAAATAATAAAACTAGTTTTGCACTGGCATGGTCATTGCACCATATGAACGGGTTGTTCAGTGTCCTGAGAATTTAAAAGTCTGATAGCGGAGGGGCAAAAACTGTTACGAAACCTTGTGATTTGGCAAAACAAAGTCAGTTACTGGATTTTGTATTAGTGGGTCATTGCTGACTGATTTACTGTCTGGCTAAGATCTTCTGACTAACAGACCGTCACCAGCGTTCTCATTATGACACAGAACCGCAGCAGAACAAACCTGAACTCTTCTCTGAAGTTGGTCCGCAGGTGCTGAGCCAGCTGGCTGTTGTACTGCAGACAGGCCAGCAGGAGGCGACAGCGCTGGAACAGCAGGACGGACTGAACGGGGCTCAGAACCGACTCCTGCTGGTCTGACAGAACCAGCAACACCTGCTGGGCCTGGTATCCAATGAAGGACAACTGCAGGGGGCAGATGCAGGTTAGAGTGGTTAATTATAACGACAGAAAACAGATTCAGGACAAACTTCTGAGGTGATGTTTACCAGGTGAGGATGAGGCTGCAGGACTCGCAACATCCAGCCAACTGATAAATTGTTGTCAGCAGAGGAACACCTGTTGGTCTGAAAAAGATGAGTAATTAGTTTTGAAAAATAAAAACAATCAACAGGCTGCTAAATAATTACTGTCACTTTTGATTGGTTAAAGACATAATTTGTTTTGCGTCAAAAGTGTGAGAAAGCTGTAAGAAATGCACAACATAGTTTCTCAGAGCCTGAACCGAAATATTACTAACAGAGTAAACCAGGTAGTTTCTAAAACCTACAGGTGACCAGTGTAGGGATGCTGACATTGGAGTAATGTTAATAGTCTTGCAACAGAGATTGATTGTAATTTAACCCTCATGTTCGAAGACAGAACATCTAAGAGTGAGAAATGACATATGATTTATCTGAGTTCAACTTATTTTGACCTCTTGTGTCGTCAAATGTGAAATATATTTGGCCATCAAAATGGAAACTGGTGCTTCTGGAGTGTAGAGAACGGTAAAGGTCCAAGGACTGAGCCTTGAGGAACTCCTTAAGTAAACTTGGAAGTGGAGGAATTAGATTAGCCATGTGACATGAATTATGTCATTATCTGCTAACCTTTCTTGTGGTGTTCCTCAGGGTTCTGTTCTGGGTCCTGTGTTGTTTTTTTTGTACTTGTTGTGTCTTTGATGCATAAAGAGGAACTTCAGAGGCACTTCACACCACTGTTATTCAGACAATATGTAGCTGCACCAGGACTGTGGTCTCCAGGTTGACTGGTTTATTGGTTGGCCCAGTGGCCTGACAGTATCCGCTGCTTTTTTAGTCTGAGAAAAGAGCTACATCAACACCCCCATGTTTTCCCAACTTTATAACTTCCAACTTAATTAACTGATGCTTACTTGAAGTAGGACTGCATTTGGTTCACATTTTTTAGTCTTGACAGGGCTATCAGGTGAAGTTGCTGTTTGGTTGGTTTACACCTAATACGTTGATTGATTGGTTTCAAAAGTAGGCAGGACTTCAGTTGACCTGCAGCCACTGTATGAACGCCACAAAATGTCCACTGATTTGTTCTTGTTTCCAGCAGCTATAAATTCAGGTTCCAACATCGTGAGCAATCCTGCGTCCCCAGAAGGACTCTAAGCTCTTTGGGGCTTGTTTTTGAAGTCATGGCCCTCAAAATATTCCATCTTTCTTTGAACTTAGGATCATCAAATGAATACTGCTTTCTCTGTATCTGTATCTTGCGTCTATGAGAACTCACCTCGTGGCCTAAAAGCAGCAGCTCAAACAGCAGAGAGCAGGCGGCGTCCAGATACTCGGCTAGTAAGGCCTGAAGCTGATAAACAGACGGTCATTAATTAACGTGTAAGACAGATTTGATCACGTCCTGTTGATGTCTGCAGAGAGCAGCTCACCTCGGAGTCCATCGGAGAACCTCGGCTTTGAGTTTGTAGCTGTGGATCACAAATCAAGGCGAGCAGCATTCGGGAGGCCAGAGCTCCTCTGCAGGGAGGAAAAACCAGCAGAACGTTAAGGACTACCGGCTGGTGTTTACCTGAACTTGTCTCAGCTTTTCTTCAAAAGCCGGCGTTACTGTATCTGTTGAACATTATCGAACCGGATCAAACTGATTGATGAAGGATGTTTTAGAACAACCTGAACTGATCAAAATGCTGCATATGTGCAAAAAAGCAAAACAGAAAAGAGGATAAAAACTTACAAAAGCCATTCTGTAAAACAAAAACAATGTGACCTTTTTCCTCCATCCAACAGAAAAAAACTAACACGGCTGAAAGTTAGAGCTCATGTTGCAGAAAAATGTGCTTAAAATTGGTAAGAAATCCTAAAATAGACACTTCAGAAGTTTGCAGTTTCAGTTTTAAGTTTGAAACTGATCCAGTTTTCTGTGAACACGATAATCGTTAATTCAGCTGCTTTTAATGAAGCTAATTTGCCGAAATGTACGAATACAGACACAAAAGTTCTTAATGTGACAGAAACACAAAGCGTCGTGTGCGTTTACTTTTTGGCAGACAGCAGGTTGACTCTGGCGGCTTCGACCTCCGTCTCTCTGAACATGACGGCGAGCGTCTGGACGACTTCGGTGCTCAGCCTGAAGACAAACAGCAGCCGACACGTCAGCTGAACAAACCAAACTGCTGCTGTCCTCATTTACTGCAGTTACTTCAGATTAAAGGTTTTAAGCTGTTTTTTTTTCAAGCAGAAATGTTAAACACCTGCTGGTTTCACCTACAAAATTCAAAGGTTTGGACATTTTCTAGATCAAGTTTGTTTGGGTTTCAGACTGAGAGACAAACAGAACACCAAAAATCAAGCAGGAGAAAATATTGAAGACTTCTGGAAATGAAAATAAGACTTTTAAAGAAAGTTTTAATTTTTTTTTTTATTAAAGAAACTGAATTCAGTAACAATAAAGACACTAACCTTAACCTAACTTCAACCTAACCATGACTTAAACTTAACCTAAGTTGAACCCAACCTAAACCTAACCGTAACCTAACTTCAACCTAACCATGACCTAATCCTAACCTAACCTTAACCCAAACTAAACTTAACTTTAACTTAACCTTAAATTAACTTGAACATAACCTTACCCTAATCTGAACCTTAACCTAATGTTAACCTAACTTAATCTTAACCTAACTTTAACCTAACCATGACCTGAACTTAACCTAACTTGAACCCAACCTAAACTTAACCTTAACCTAACTTTAACTGAACCTTAAATTAACTAACATAACCTTGCTTTAATCTGAATCTAACCTCAACCCAACCATAACCTAATGTTAACCTAACCTGACCTTAACCTGACTTAACTTAACCTAAACCTAACTTTAACCTAACCTGAACCTAATTTTAACCCAAACCTTAAACTACGTCTTTGCCCTAAAATTTACTTTATGAGGTCTTTTATTCCCCAGAAGGAAGTCAAGTCTTCGCATCATGACTGTAAACAGAGTTACTGTATGTAGCCACCACACTAACCCTACGTTAACGCTACATTAACACACACTACGTGAACACACACTACATGAACACACACTACATGAACACACACTACGTGAACACGCTACATTAACACACACTACATGGACACACACTACATGAACACACACTACATGAACACACACTACGTGAACACACTACGTGAACACACACTACGTGAACACACACTCCGTGAACACACACTACATGAACACACACTACGTGAACACACACTACGTTAACACTACATGAACACACACAGCGAAGCTTACAGGAGCTGATCTTCTGTGTACGATCCACTGGGGCTCTGACAGCCGTGCAGACAATCCTCCAGAGTCTGAACCAGGAAATCGCCGACGTCGCCGGACTGAAACACACAAACAGCAGAAGATCTTCACACAACAGAAGCTACACAAACCCACAACGACAACATCTGCACTCAGGTGCTTCTGCTTTCGTCTGCCTTTTGCATCTATTAGAATAAACTACTGCACATTTAGCTCTGCTTGTTTGACCTCTTGTTGCTCCGACAGCGAACATCTCACCTTCCAGAAGAGTCGTCTCAGCGTGGCGTTGCGGTGGGCGGCGGTTCTCAGCTCCTGCAGTAGCAGGTACAAGCTCTCCACGCTGATGCCGTCCTGCAGCAGCTCCGAGCTCAGCTGACCGAACAGGTGAGCCGTCCGCTCCCAGCTGCACCAACACACACTTCATTACCTCACAAATCCAAATGCAGTGATCTGGGTCTGCACTTTCATGGGCTCCACAGTTTTAGCTCCTGATAAACAGACATCATACGGAGCTGCAGCCGTTCGTTACCTGATTGCAGGAGCAGAGGAGTCGGATGAAGCGCTGCACCTCCTTCTGTAGAGAGGATCCAGCAGCAGAGTCGACCTCTGAACACACAAACGTCCACGTGGAGGACAACAATCGAAACCAAACACACAAAGAAATAACATATCAAATAATATACATGTCAGAGGGGACGTGTGATCAGTATGTCCAACAAATTTCACCAGTGTGTATTCAAAGCTTGATGTAAGATCTTGAAACTGCAAACTAGATTTTTATTCTAATAAAACGAGATCTCCCAAAATCCCACCTAAAAAAAAACCTTCATTAAGAGTTTTGCTGCTGGTTATTATCCAGTGTTTGGATTTCTGTTCTGGAAATGAACTAAAATCAGGACATTTTTAAATATTTAAAACCTTTTCTGCTTATTTAACTTGTAACACAAACAGTCATTGACTTAAGGGGTGAGTTTCACGGTGATATCTGTTAAAATGTTCACTGCATTCACTTTAATGGATAACTAAACAAATACTATTCTGTTATTATAAGGAAGAAATAAGAATCTATGTACTTCATATGGATATGTATTTATTTAATATTGAATAAAACAGCATTTCATAAACCTAAAATCCACATTACTTGAACATTTCTACCATTTTTGCAGCAGCTTTAACCGACTGAGCCTCAGAACCGGTTCTATGGCGAGAACGCCTCCGTCACTCACGATGAGGAAGCTGTTCCAGGCGCTCTGCAGGTGGAGGTAAAGCCTGGACGTCTGCGACACGGCGTACAGGTGGAGCTCCGCCTCCTTCTCCTCCTCGCCGCTCGCGCAGTCTCGCCTCAGAAGTCGGGACAGAACCGAACCGAACGTCCTCGGCACCTGGAGTGACGGGTAGGATTTCAACTCTCATCACTAGTGTACTGATCCAAATAGCGACACGTGAGCGAAAATGCCAGACAGAGAAAAGACGTCTCGCTCTGCTGGGATTAAGAGACACTGGAGGTTGTTACAGAGCGAAGCATCGTCCTGCAGAAACAATCTCTGCTGAACAGCAAAACGAAACCTGACGAGTTTTGGTTTGACTTCTTCTCGCCTGCTGTTTGTCATTTTAAACGGTGACATTAGAAGCCCAACAAGCTGATTAGATTCTGTTTTGTAATAAATAGTGCTGGATCTCTGCACTAAATTCAACTGTTGATGTTGAATTTATTCTGAAAGACGACATTTATTCTGTAAGGAAGCAGCCGTTTATTTGGACCTACATGTGCAGAAAACAAGTCATAGAATAATTTGTACATCTTCTCTAAGACTAGAAAACATCCAAAGTACACGTGTAGGTGTTTGTTTTACTTTATCTATTGGGCATTCATGCAAATGTGTGCATATTTAACGAGATAATACCAAATGTACGTATTTAAACGTAACATTTTTGGTGTTTTCATGGCTTTTGTCTGCACATGTGCACTTTTTTTTAAAGCGACCTAATTACTGATTTGATCCTAAAACACCAGAAAGTGGTGAATAAAGTCCATCAGTCAAGCCCACAATTCTGAAATATTACATTTAAAGTAATTTAAGACCAACAAATTCAAACATTCTCACATTTTCAAAGCCTTGAATCAGCAAAAGTTTCACATTTTCTCTTGAAAAATATGAAGCGATTGATAAAAATGTTGATAAATTGGCTGCATGTTGCATCAAAACAAACTGTGCTTTGGGTGTTTATGCTGCTGCCCGTCCATACCTGGCCGTTCTTCAGGTTCTGCTCCGAGGGCGACGGAGGTGATGTGGGTGAGCTGGAGGGAGGCTGGGTGGGAGGGTGAGGAACCTTCGGGAGGCGCAGAGTTTCTGGGTCTGGACAGGAAGCAGAACGGGTCGGCTTTAGCTTCGGCAGCAGCTCCTCCTTCCACTGGCCGCTGGTCCTGAAGGAGTCATGAGAGGAGATGTGAGGTTTTATTGTTTGATGAGGGAACAGCAGCGTTTCCTTTGCTGTTAGTAAATCTGAAAAGAATACCAAAACCAACCAGAGACGCTAGCTAAACTCCCACAATGCTCTCTGCTGCCAACATGAACTGCTTGTAATCTGAGTGACCACCTCCAGGTACATATATGTCTCTGGACAGTAGGAACGCTGACCTGCTAGACCACAACATGTATGAGTAAATTGTGGTTGAGGTCTTTAAGTATCACGAAAGCTATTGTCATGGTGCCTATGGCTAGCATGTCGTTTGCTAACATGAATCGCCTGTAGTCTGAGCAACCACCCCCAGTTGCATATGTCTCTGGATTGTAGGAATGCTGATCGTTGCTGCTAAACCACAATGCTCTCTGCTGCCACCATGAGCTGTAGTCTGAGTGACGCCTCCTCTGGTCTCTACAGGATTAAACAGTGAGAGGCTCCACCTGGTGGAACAACCAGGTACTACAGCGAAAATCAAAAGCAACCAAAACATCTTGAAACTTCTTCACAGTGACTCAAAACGCGTATAAGATACTGAAAACTTCTCCAGAAATATTTCAAAATGAGAACAAAAAAAATCTGATCCTCGCCCGATCCTTTGTTTTCGTCTGTTGTCACACAGATTTCGTACAGGGAGAACACAGTTTGTGGCAGGATGCTACAGACGCTAATCTGAATAATTTTCCAAATCAATAACCTGCAGACGTGTCCCAGTTATTCCCAGTTTTAACGAGAACATGAGCTCTTGTCGGACGTCCTAAAGCTTCACGTTAGTCTCTGTCATGGTCCCGTTGCTGCTAAACTCCCACAATGCTCTCTGCTGCCACCATGAGCTGTAGTCTGAGTGACGCCTCCTCTGGTCTCTAAACAGTGAGAGGCTCCACCTGGTGGAACAACCAGGTACTGCAGCTGATCTACGATGCATTTTTGAGAGATTACAGGTTTTCTTTTGGAGCTTATGGAAGCCTCAGTACGTCCGACCCTCTAACACCACATTCAGACCGTGTCCTACTGGAGCTTCACAGCGAGGTTCCACCTACAGAACATGAAGGAACAGCTTGGATGCAGAATGCAATGCAGTTATTCAGTTGTCATATATATAAATATATAATGAATTGTTTTTTATTAACTTTATTGTACTTTCAGTGTGTTTTATCAAGTAAAACGGTATCAGATTGGGACTATGTATTACCAGATACTAAATATTAAACGACTTGGGGGCTAAAAACTTGATTCTGACTTCCCGAAAACGAACAAATCGACATTCAGATAAGAACCACTGCAGCTCGATGCTCCTTGTATTGGATCACTGGTGTAGAAAGCTGGTTTAGTTAAACAAACGGCTCGTTTCAGGGTGTTTTCTGTCGTTGTTAGAGAACTGAAGATGCACTAAGATACCGAGAACATCAACACTTCTCGGGAGGTGGAGGACAGATATTTAATCTGCCCCAATCTGCTCCAGTTTGGGTCAGTTTCTGCAGATTAAACCTTAATCTTCAGTCTGTCGTTGCTGCCAGTCGTCCTCATAAAGAGTTTATTGAACACTTTTTATATTTACGTCAGCTACACTTTGCTCTTGGCCTCTACATCCACAATCCAGACCAAACTCTGAGTTACTTCCTCCTTTTGTTTTGTCTTTTCATTACAAACGTCGCTGCCTCTAAACAGAACCGCTTGATGTTTAATTTCTTCTCAGGTGTAGACGTGAGTGTTCGTCTAATGACGTCCCGGCGGTGAATCCACTCGGATGAGCGTGAGACAGCGTTTACAGTTTCTGCTGTTTACATCACACGCATCAGCTTTACAGCACGCTGCCGTAACCAGGCGACGGTTCAGAGTCCAGTGACGGTAAATCTGTTCACATGAAGTCTGACTGAAGCACAAAGGAATGAACAAACTAAAACGTTAAGTTCTGGACGTTTGAACCAGAATTTCATTTATATCCAGGTTCTTTTGACCCGGATGAACGCCACAGGAGGAGGAGGTGGTGGTGAATGAAATATTCACTGTGTTCTTCTGTAATCTAAGTCAGGATGCGTCTGTCGGTGTGAGTCTCTGGTTCCAGGTGGATTCAAATCTCCTGGTTTCAGGTAATTCTGACTCCAGAGCGCCTTGTTTGGTCTCACAGCTGTCTGATTAAAAGAAATCTGACAATAACGCATAAAAATCAGTGTTCTAGCTCCTCTCAGTGCACCTATTTTATGGAAACTATTTTATTTTCTCGTGTCAAAAACT